AAATAACAGCTATAGCCAGGAAAATCAGTAGATATGAAGCTCGAATTGCAAACTATAGGCAGAACCTCCAATTTCAATCCAATCAGAAACGCTTCTACCAATCCATCAATGGAGAAACTGCAAGGAATCAGTCAGTACCTGACAAGGAAGAAACAGTGCAGTTCTGGAAGCAGATATGGGATAACCCAAAGAAATACAACAAGGATGCGGCTTGGTTAAAAGAGGTGGATGCAAATAAAACAGAAGTTGAAATGAAAGAACTAGTAATAAAAACAAAAATGGTAGAAAAAAGAGCAAAGAAAATCAAAAATTGGTCAGCACCAGGTGAAGATGAACTGCATGGGTTTTGGTTGAAACATCTAACTGTTATACACCCACTCATTGCCAAGCAGTTCAACAATATACTACAAGGAGGAGAAATTGAAAAGTGGCTAACAACTGGGAAAACCTACCTAATAATGAAAAATCCAGCAAAAGGGGCAACACCAGGAACTACAGGCCAATTACCTGCTTACCAACAACTTTCAAATTACTAACTGGTGTGGTAGCTGATGCAGTACAACAGCATCTAGTTGAAAACAATCTCTTTCCACCTGAGCAGAAAGGAAACCGCCCCAATAGCAGAGGAACAAAAGATCAACTCCTAATAGACAAAATGATCTTGGAAAACTGCAAGAGAAGGAAGACCAACCTGAATGTGGCATGGATTGACTACAAAAAGGCATTTGACTCTCTGCCACATGATTGGATAATAAAGTGCCTAGAAATAACAGGAGTCAGTAGAAACATCAGAAAATTTGTGCAAAGATCGATGGCACAATGGAAGACACAGTTGCAGATCAATGGTGAGAGGCTGGGAGAGGTTAATATCAAGAGAGGAATATTTCAAGGAGATTCATTATCACCATTACTATTTGTTATTGCACTGTTTCCTCTGTCAACAATACTGAATAACTCAGGACATGGCTATCAAACATCAAAAACATCTGCCAGACTATCCCACTTCCTTTACATGGATGATCTGAAGCTGTATGGAAAAACATCATCTGAAATAGAATCGCTGCTCAACACTGTCCGTATATATAGCCAAGATATTGTAATGGAGTTTGGCTTGGACAAATGTGCCACACTTACTATCAAACAAGGAAAAATAGTGAAAACTGAAGGAATCAAGATGCCCCACGAAAATAACATTAAGAGTCTGGATGCGGAAGAGTACTACAAATACTTGGGTATCCTTCAAGCTGACAACATCAAGCACACTGAAGTCAAGAAAAAGATTAGAGGTGAATACATCAAGAGAGTGAAGAAGATCTTAAAGTCCAAACTCAATGGAGGAAATACCATAAAGGCAATCAACACCTGGGCAATTCCAGCTGGAATAGTGGACTGGACTCAAGCACAACTAAAAGCAATGGATAGGCAGACCAGAAAAATAATGACAATGAATCATGCCCTTCATCCACGCAGTGACATTGACAGACTTTATCTACCAAGGCAAATAGGTGGGCATGGAATGCTACAAGTACACCAGATGGTTGAAGAAGAAAAAATGATTTTGGAAGAATATCTGAATGATGAAAATGCACTGAAATTAGTATATCAGGAAGGCTTGCTGACTACTGGAGAGACCAAACTGGCCTACAAGAAAGACCAAATGAAGAACAGAATAGAGGCATGGGAAGACAAAGCATTACATGGCCAATACGTGAAAACAATAGCTGGGAAAGCAGATAATAATAATAATAAGACCTGGCAATGGCTAAGAGCAGGAAAATTGAAGAAAGAGACCGAGGGACTAATTCTGGATGCACAAGACCAAGCCTTAAGGACAAATGCATACAAAGTCAAAATTGAGAAGACAGCAACAGACAGTAAGTGCCGCCTATGCAAAGAAGCTGAAGAAACAGTGGACCACTTGGTAAGCTGTTGCAAGAAGATTGCACAGACTGACTACAAGCAGCGGAATGACAAAGTAGCAACAATGGTGCATTGGAAGATCTGCAAAAAATATCATTTGCCTGTAAGCAAAAACTGGTGGGATCATAAAATAGAGAAAGTCATAGAAAATGATAAAATTTAAACTGCTCTGGGACTTCAGAATTCAAACAGACAAGCACCTGCAACATAACACCCCAGACTTAAAATTGTCGATAAGAAAGACAAAAAAGTCTGGATAGTGGACGTGGCAGTGCCTGGAGACAGCAGAATAGACAAGAAAGAACTGGAGAAGATAACAAAATACAAAGACCTACAAATAGAAATAGAAAGACTGTGGCAAAAGCAAACAAGGGTAGTACCAATAGTAATAGGCTCCTTGGGTGCAATCCCAAAACAACTGGAGCACCACTTGAACACCATTGGCATTGACAAATTCTCTATTAGTCAATTGCAAAAGGCAGCCTTACTAGGAATTGCTTCCATCCTGCAATGATATCTGTAATACCATCAAACATCCACATCTGCCTATCCCAGGTCCTGGCTAAGGACTCAATAGGTAGATAAAATGGCAAATCCAGTCTGAACATCTGGCTGACTGTATGATGATCCATAATAATAATAATAGTAATAAAAAATAAAGTTGGAAGGGTCTTTGGAGGACATCTAGACCAACCCTCTGCTCAGGCAGGAAAACCTATACCATTTCAGACAAATGGCTGTCCAGTTTCTTCTTAAAAACTTCCAGTGTTGGAGCATTCACAGCTTTTAATTCCACTGATTAATTGTTCTAACTGTCAGGAAATTTCTTCTTAATTCTAGGTTGTTTTTCACTTTGGTTAGTTTCCATCCATTGCTTCTTGTCCTGCCTTCAGGTGCTTTGGAGAATAGCTTTATTCCCTCTTCTATGTGGCAGCCCGAGATATTGGAACACTGCTATCATGTTACCCCTCGTCCCAGAGTCTCAGCATCTTTTTTACATCGTGGTAACCAAAACTGGATGCAGCATTCCAAGTGTGGTCTTACCAAGGCATTGTAAAGTGGTATTAACCCTTCACGTGATCTTGACTATCCCTCTGTTAATGCAGCCTAGCACTGTGTTGGCTTTTTTGGCAGCTGCAGCACACTGCTGGCTCATATTTAAGTAATTGTGCACTAGGACTCCAAGATCCCTCTCACAGTTTCTCCTCTTGAATAAGGTACCACCTATACTATACCTGTGCATTTGTTTTTTCTTGCCTAAATGTAGAACCTTACTTTTTTCACCATTGAATTTCATTTTGTTAGATAGCGCCCAATGTTCAAGTCTGTCAAGATCCTTCTGTATCTTAAGCCTATCTTCTGGAGTGTTGGCTATTCCTGCCATCTTGGTGTCATCTGCAAATTTGATGAGTTCCCCATCTATCCCCTCATCCAAATCAATAGGATAAAAAGTCTTAGAAAAATACATGACTCATTGGCTCAGATCTTGTGAATATGAATGATATTTAGTGACTCTCTCTAACTCATGTCATAAATATGAATCTTATGATCTTTTCCAGCAACAGCAATGATGTATACACAGTGATTTAGACTTCTACTCATGGGATTCTTCTTTCTGATTAAATTGAAGAGGTCTATCATTTGCACAAACTTTTGTACAATTTTTTTTTGTAAAAGTGTTTCAGCAAGTCCTTGTAACTCTCCACTATCCAAATTTACCTGCGACAGCCTTATTTAACAGGCTTTTCAATCCTGCAAAATAACAGCTATGACATTGCTATACTGTGAGAAATCTTGCACAAGAGCTCACACAAAAGCAGCTCCAAAACATTTTATTCACACATCTTTGAATCCAAGCAGATAGGCACAGTGTTTTAAATGTGTGTCCACAGATGAAATAGGGTGGCACTCACACGAGGGAGAATTTTCTAAACACACATCCCACTGATATTTGTTGAGTCATTTTGGTTATGCATACTGTATATTATGTTGCTTAATTTTTTTTTTTCATTAGATTTCTGAACCACCACAATCATGGGAGACTTGGTTAGTGTACACATAAAACAATTACAGAAAAATAATATAAAATCAAAAACAGTGTAATGAAAATAAACAAAATAAAACATGGTATAGTTATATGAGATACCAATGGCATTATCTAATTACTTAACCTGCTGCTAGAATTCCTAACAAGGTTGGGACAAGTCTAATTTCTTAGGAGAGGCCATGTCAGGTCAAGAGAACCAAGAACTACATGTGAATAGTATCTTTATTGTTGCTCACTTACTAACAGAAACTTGCCAAAATAAAGCAATTATCTACAATAACTATAGATGAACTCTGTGAATTGCTAGGGAGGGTTCAACCTTGCTCTCTTCCTGCCCACCAGACCTTCCAAGCTCTGCTGTCTCTTTGCCTTCTCTCCCCTCTCCTGCAACTCCTGGCTACATTCCACTACAGGCTATTCTTTAACATGGGGACTATTATAAGAAGTATCTACTCCTGGGCTCCTCTCCACTTAACAGAATAACAGAATTGAAGGGACCTTGGAGGTCTTCTAATCCAACCCCCTGATTACAAGCAATTTGTGTCAGGTAAGTCAATCCTAACTAAAGAAGCTGGTCCTGAAGATACCACCGTGCCAAATATGAATTGCATTATGCTGGGCTAATTGTTATTTGATCTAAATTCCTAACTTTTGGGTTAAGAAACTTGTGCATTTTATTAAGTACTGCAATTTTGTAAATCTTTCTACACTAATCTATCTCCTATAAGGCTGAGCTGTCCCAGTATTTCAAATCAGTAAGACATAAATTCCTCTAGATCAGTGGTTCTCAACCTGTGGGTCGGGACCCCATTTGGGGTCGAACGACCATTTCACGGGGGGTCGCCAAACAAGGCTGTCCGCCATTTTTTTCCCCTTTTCTTTGGCCAGGCCCCTGGCACCTAGTGATGTATAAGTGGTTGGGGGTCACCACAACATGGGGAACTGTATTATGGGGTTGCGGCATTAGAAAGGTTGAGAACCACTGCTCTAGATCCTGTATTAAGGTTCTATCCACTAAACTACTATTTCTTACCTTTTTTGTTCTGGAGGTGGCTGAGATTTGTTATCTTTCCTCTTTTTGGACTCCCTTTTGGAATCCTTTTTGGCCTCTGCCTCAGAGGCTGGGGGGTTATTTGCAACTGGCTGTATGCCACCAAGTATCTTTTCCATTGTTTGACTTTGGAGATGTTGAGTTTTAAATTAAGACATAAAAAAAGATAAGGATAGCGAAACAGAAAATGAAAGCAACAAGGTGTTGTAACAGAAGAAATGAAAGAAAAACAAGCTAAAAATTAAACGTTAAACAATAAAATGATAACAATAGATGCCAACAATTTGTCAGCAAAGGAAGAAAAGGAAATCAGAACCACAAAGAAAATAAGGCAAGCCGAGTGCTTGTAACCTAACGAGATGGATCGAGTGAACTGTGACTTGAGTGGCAGCCATACAATGTAAAATACCAGCAATGTGTATAATAATTCATGATGATGTTTACCAGGGAGCTTACAAAACACTTCATTATTTTATAACACTCTGTTATGCAGTAGCATATGTAGAACAGAGTGTGAAATCTCACTGTATAGAATGCAACTTCCAAAAAAAATAAAACCATCGGTGCACGGAATGCTATACCAGTCTATATAGTTTCAGATTTAAAATGGACGTGATTGTCAAACTATGAAACAAGTTTGAAAGTATGAAAGTTTTTTTTTTTAAAAAAAGCAGTCTCAGTTTGAATTTAACTCTGATCTGTTACAGCAAGGTTAATTGGTAGAACAAAGCAAATGTTGAGTCTATAAGCATGCAAGTCTCAATACAAAGGGAATCTGATGCAGCCTAAAACATGGGCCATTATTGCTAAGGCATTTAGAAATGGTGGCTTTGGGATACAATGGCAGCTTCCTCAGTACAATCAAAGTAGAGAGGTATATAAAATTGCTGCACACCATTATGCTGGTGTGGAAGGAATTCTATGTTCTCGTTACTCTGTAATCATAATGTAGAAGCTTAAGAAGTAAGCAGAATGAACATATTGGATTACAGAAGTTAATGCATTCTGCAAGTGTTTATACCCACACAAAGAAGGGGATGGGGATAAGGATATGTCTTCAAAACCCTGACTCTAAAATCTTTTTCTTTAGAGAGTCTTTGTAATTCTGTGTCTACTATATATTAAACTGTGAAGAGATTTTATGAGCATTTAGTTGATCTCCATGATTTAAGATCTCATAAAGTATCATTCCTGTTGGCAAAGCCCATGCAGCACAAAATGTTCTTGTGTAACTTCATTTTCTCTCTTAAGTCCTGCAAAGGATTTGAGAGAGTCCTTAAATTATTGCTAAGGATCTGAAGAAAAAGAAGACAGCTACTACATCTCATTTACCTTTTGCATCTTATTGTGATATAATCAAAAGATTCAAATGTCTATACATTCTTAAGTGATTGAAATATTTTTTCAGGTTTTGAGTTTTTCTCCATCATTCTCAAACCTAAAATATAATTATTGAACCAATTGCAGTGCAGAAATTATTTACACGAGCATCAAAAGTGATCATTTGTTGTACTTCCACAATTACTAAAATAGAAAAAAAGATGAGAAGTTCTTAATCTGCATTTTATATTGACTTAGCACATCCAATTCCTTATCTCAATAGACGAATTTATTCAACTGTTTCTTCTTTGGCAGAATTCTTTAATTTATGGCCTTTTCAAAGTGATGCAAGCATTAAAAGGTCTGAATCCAAATGGACTTCAGTTTTGCTTGGTTACTTTTTTTTTAAGACAAGAACTAATTGCTATTTTCCATATAGTAAAGAACATAAATTATGAGTATAGTTATGCATTATCCAAAGAAACCAGCATTTCAAAAAGCAACGTTACCAAAATGGCTGAGACACACCTGGTCCACCTTACCTGTTACCATGAACATGTGAAGCACAAAAGGCAAAACTGTAGTGTAGTAAGGTGGGGTCAATCATTGCTCCATTTTCTGCTCTTTCAAGCAAATCACCAAGGTAGCAAAGATGCCTGTGGCAGCCTCTGACTCCATTACGTGCACAGTATTCATCTAGGACAAAGACTTGGCCAGGACTAAACCAGCCCTGTAGGTAAATAGAGAAAGTTTGTGTCAAATGTAAAAAAAAAATTTTTTTTTAAAAAAGACACCAGACTACAATTTACGAAAATGAAATTAGGAAATGAAATATTTATGTTGAATACATAAATTAAAACAGGAATGTTTAGAAGCCATCCAACTTTGTACAACTAGATTTTGGTTTGAAAAATCAGCCTTGTCCTTTTCTTGATATCATCATGTAAAGGACTTAATTTTTTATAGGTGCACCACCATACCCAACTGAGATATGGAATTTGTGCTAGTTGTGCTATTTGCTTCTCCTGCCCCTTCAGACTATGGCTATCTGTTTTTGTGGACAATTGAAGTGGTGAGTCAGTGACTTGTAAGTGGAATATCTACATTTCAAAGGCAATCTTGACCAATCTACTGGAAGAACCTAAGTAAAAAGTAAAATATCATCTCACCCAAACAATTCCAGAAGTTTTAAACAACGAAACATGAATTATCTATGTGAAATAAATACTGAGATGGATATTGCAGGGGCGATTTTAAAAAAGGACTCAAATAGATTATTAATCAACAATCACATACCTATGTATGAAACTGTGCTGTTAATGTACAAATACTCAATTAGAACAGAGCACTCAAATCAACAGATCAAAATAATCCAGCATATTGCTTAGCTATGAAAGAAGAGATATAAGAATCTTTTTCTTGTTACAGAAATAAATTCTCTAGTAAGCGGCAATAGTCACAGCACATATTTGTTCCCTACAGATAAAGGTGCTTTTGTGGGAAATGGGATAGCGCCTCTGCCCCTAACACTGTTCTTCATGTATTTTGATATCTTGTTCTGTATGGAAGTCTGCAAACAAAAGTGCACATATATGGTTGCATGATAGTCACTACAAAAGTGGAAGGTAAATATCTTAAATAATATCTATCTGGAGTGTGGAGTGTGAGAATGGCAGATATTCATATATGAATGGGTTCTGGAATACATCAAGAATGGGGATTAGGTTAACAATTGGGAGACAAAATTTCATAGAAAAAGTTGGTCGAAAACTAATGCAAATATATCTCTTAACTTTAATGGCTCAAGCTGTTTCAGCGTTTTATATGCCAATGTGAAGACTATAGAGTATAGCTGAAGGATGCCTGGAAGTTGTTTTCTACTTTGGAATATTATAAACAGAGAGTCATTATAACCTCAGCAGCCCGTCCTGTTTATTGTTTTAGCTGAACAATCCACAAGGGCAGTTGCACATATTACGAAGTATTAGAATAGTGAAGTTTCAAGGTTACACAGGAACAAATTAATGATAGCGTATCCTTATGGATCTATCCTGGTATGTCACAGCACCAGACTATCATTTTGTAAAATGGGAAGCCTAATTAGAAGAGACTGCCATAACAGCTTATCAGGTAGATTCTTTCTCACCTAACGTGAAACTCTGTAGATAGAATTCAAAAGAATTCCAGGAGCAGATTGAAAAATAATCAGTATTGATAGCGACACTGAGCCATTGACAAGACATATCTTTCTAATGCTTCAAAACTGCAAACTCTTTCTTCTTTTAATTGAAAAGTTCCTGCGGCGATTAGATCAGTGCCCTGCCCCTTTAGGCAACTTCTTTGCCACCCCATCTGGCACCCCAAATGCTACGTCTTTGAAATGAAGCCGCTGTGAAAAGATTAAAATATATTTTCTACCACTCAGATGACACCAAATCCTTTCTGGATGCCAAAATGCTACTGTTGAGGAGAGTCGAAGAAATATCAATTAAGAACTCCATCGAAGGATTTGCTTATCGTTGTTGGGCCAACTCCAGAACAGATTGAAAAGGGATTAAAATAATGAGGGGCAGAATCAAAGGCATGGAAAACAGACATAGTTCCTTTTATTACACCAATTGCCAGAAAGCGCATGTGTGAAAGAAATGAAGATGCTGACGGAGGATAAGTCAGGCTATGGCTTGTCAAAAACAACCTTTTTTTTTCTTTCTTTATGTCATCTCAAAAGAACTCCTGGAATTTTGCATTTGGGTGAAGGCTCAAACAAAAACATTTTCCTTACTTAAGAAAAATTCAGTTGGTTTTGTTTTTCTCACAATATTTTGGCAAGGAAGAAGGAGGGGGGGGGGTAAAATAAAAAAAATACCCCTTCCCTCTCTGCAAGTGATTTCCAGAAAAAAAAAAAGAATTGAGTATTCCAGAAAACTATGGTAGGGAAAAGCTACAACTGAAGGTGCACAAAGACAAAAATATTGCTAAAATTGCAGCCAACTGTATTTGTGTGACTATTCTTGAGCAAATGGTAGTACAGCAACATTTCTCACCAATTCCAATTTCCACCAGTGCCTCCTAGTTAATCTAAGGGGGAATTCCCCCCTTAAAGAGTACCGTACTTCAAAATCACGTTTGAAGATGGTTTTTTTGCTTTGCTTTTTTCTAAAGCATAGGGACAATTAGGCAGCTGAATATACATTTGATCTAGTTATGGCTATACTGTGAAATAGATCCATGGAAAACTGAAACTTTTGTCAGAATTCAAACTAAATTATGTGAGTTAAGCAGCCAGCTGTGAAAATCACATCAAAAGAAAAAAAAGAGGAAGGAATAATAGCAAGCCCATTGGTTGATCAAAGTGCCTCAAGTTGATTTTTTGTTGTGTTCTGTATTTGTTAATCAATGCCGTTCTTAGTTTTTGTTTTCTTCTTGCTCCTCACTGCAAGCTTTTTTTGGGGGGGGGGGAGTTGGTGGCCTGCATTGAATAATTTTCAGTCTACCCCTTATTCACATTTTATAACCCTGCTCTCTTACTCAAATTTATATCTGGGACATTTTCATCTCTCATCAGAGACTCTGACAAGTTGGTCTCATCACAAGATGCCATATGAGACTGAACTGCATATTTATCATGCAAAGTAGCCTAGAGGCAGTTATACACCCACAGGAAGGGACTGCTTTATTTACTTATTTTTATTTAATCAAATTTTACAATCACCCATCTTCGTCCCAGAGGAACTCCGGACAATGTACATATAAAATATTTGTACAATAAAATATGAAGACACAAAACATCTACATAAATTTTTAAAAGGTAAGGATGAATTAAGAATCGGTGTTAAAGTTACTTAAAAAGTGGGGGAAAGAGTGTTCAGGGTGCCAACCAGCCTCATGGCTGTGTGGACCTCTATGAGTCCCAAGCAAGACTAAAGACCCATATTATTATACATTTCTGAAAGGCCAGGAAAGTGGCGGGGCCCTCATATCTAGGGGGAGAATGTTCCACAGGGCAGGGACAACAGCAAAGAAGACTTTCTTCCTGGACTTGGCCAGTTAGAATTCTTTAGCTGATGGAATCCACAACATACCTTCCCTACCTGACCAGTTGGGATGGGCTGATTTATTGAGATAAAGACAATTCTGTAGGTAACCTGCCACCAAAACCCCAGAGTCCAATAATCTGGCCCTGCTTTCATACCAGAAGCCAGGGCTAATGGACTCTATTTTAAGATTAAAATAATTTAGGAAAGGAGTGGTTAATTTGCAACTTAAGAGCTGCACACATCAACCTGCCTAATTTCACAAGGACCCAGGTCTGTTTTCCAAAGCCCTTTGTGAGCTACTAGTTTCAATCCTTGAGAATGACGTGAGAGAAAGAGAGAAGTGATTGTGAAGAAAATGAACAGTAGGTGATCCTATCTACCTACTTGCTATTTACAAATCACCCCCCCCCCGAAATACACAGGAACCTATTAGAAACCAAAAAGGACATTGACATGACATTACATTGACATGGCATCATTTTCCATTCTGTGCTTATGCTTGCAGATTATCTCCAGGGGGTTAGGGGCCTTGACAATCCCAGGGATGGGGTAAACATAACTGAATTACAGCCACAGCAATTTATGGGGTTCACAGATTGTTAACTGCATTGCCAAAAGCCAACTTGGAACACAGCATCTCGAGCAAATGAACTTTATGCTAGTCAACAATTCATGTTCAATTAAAAAAACCCCTCTCATTTGATGCAAGCATGAAGTCATTTTAAAAAGAAATCATAGCAAATTTCATCTTCATGACATCCCTAAACATTGAAATATTGTTTGAGTTCTTCTGTTTCTCAGTTTTTATTTAGAGTAGTGTTTAAATACAGAAATTAACAACAAAAATCATGTAAAGTGACAATTTAGTTTTCGACATCCTGCTTCCCAATTAAATTAAAAAAAATCACATATACTTCTGAATGAGTAAATTAAAACAGACTCCATGGTCCAATTTTCTAGCATTTCCGTTTGAGTATTGATGACTTTCTTCATTTAAATGGAGACTCTAGAAGGTGCAGAAATCATGATATTACAACAAAACCTGCATTCTTCCAGTCTATAATACAGTTAAATTCAGACTATTTCAGGGTAAATTTTCATAAAATCTTATTATTTTTATTTGATTTAATTATTAAAGAGAGCCACCTGATCTCTGCATCTTCCAGAGCAGCAAAATTGAATACACCAGTCTTGCATGGCAAGTCTGTAAAGCGTAAAGGTACAAATAATACTTACACAGAAAGGGAGCAAAGCCAATGTTGGACAGCATAGGCCTTTTCTAAATCATTGTTTGCAGAGAGCAACTCAAAGAACCCTGTGGCTATAAAAACTGTGGCAGGAAGTTTCAGTCAATGGTGCCAACAACACCTCTGCTTCCCCTCCCAAATGCTTTTCCTTGCCAAAAACTGTTGCCTTTATGTTATCTGTAATGAGTCAATTTCTTTGTTTTCATAGAGAATTCCGCTTCTGTCAGACTGTGGGAAATCAAGTCAGACTGTACATCATGGGCTTGAGAAGGAGAAACGATGCTACTTTTGGGAGGTCTATCAGTCTTCAATGAATGACTTATGATAATAAGAGTTGTCAACAACATGAACCACAACAAAATGAACCAAGGCACAGTTTGCAATTTATATGGAGGGAAGTTAAAATGTGTTCATCTTTAAAATCCCACACAATTCTTTCCTTTTTGAAATAAATTGACAAAGTCATCTTCTATATTCTAAATTCAGGATTTTAAAGCCACCCCTAACCCTTCAGCTGTTCCCTATATAAATTCTGCACTAAAAACTGATTTGCAGAAATTCCCTTATATGTGAGCAGCTGTGATCTCTAGCAGGAAATGGCAATCTGGTCATTTTGAGTGAACAGGATTAGAGTTAAAAGGAACAAAAGGAGAATGCAATGTGAAGCAGATTGCTCCAGAATCAGAGACCTGGGATGAAGATTGTGTTGCTGGATACCAGCTTGATGAATGAGGGAAAATTGACTGGGACTTGAGACCCCCTGAGATGTGGGAATCAATTCAGATATTCCATGCCAGGAGACTGATAGAAAAAAATGGCTGCCAAATGCTGAAGGTTCCCCCCTCAAATTAAATCCAGGGAAAAGCAAGAACTTCTTGGTTACCATCCCATTGATCAGTCTCCCACTAGAAATTCAGATGGCACCATCATTTCTGATCTTTAGAAAAATCTTTAAAAAATAACTGGTTCTAAAGAGCATGCATTTATGCCCCCCCTCTCTCAATAAACCTATTACCATTGTTCTGCCTGTTATAAAATTTTACAAAAGGTTTTGAAAGTTTAAAGGATTATTATGTTTTGTGTTTTTTGTGTTATGATCAGTTTGTTTGTTTTATTGTGTGAACAAACCAACCAATGAAATTAAATCTATGGGAATTGATATAACATAGTCCTGATAGGTGCCAATCCATGAAATGTCTAAATATTGATCACAGGCAATTTTCTCACATTAAATGCTAATTAGTTAGGCCCACTGAATTGGGCTTGGCACTTGAGGGCTGCTACAACAAATTTTCATCATCTCAATCTAATTCCAGCTACACTTCTGTAGCTCTTCCAATGAGAATAAGGTAATCTCTTTGAAACTATCTTCTATTTTATCTGCCATCTTCACTTCAATCTCTGTCAATCTTGTGAAGCAAAATTGTTTTTTTCTAGACCAGGGGTAGGCAACCTTGGCTCTTTTATGACTCGTGGACCAATTCCCAGAATTCCTGAGCCAGCCATGAATTGAAGTCCACAAGTCATAAAAGAGCCAAGGTTGCCTACCCCTGGTCTAGACCATCATTGGTTGCATTACATGGCCAAAGCAGAGAAATGGGATGCTATTAAGGTATATGGCCAGATCTATTATTTCTAACTGGCACAACTATCTATAATGATGGATATGCACTTTTATTGATGGTGATGAAAAATTAGTGCATCTCCCTAGAGACACCCAAAAACAGGAAGTTTATATCCTAATTGATGACTGCTAGACATCTTAGCTGTTTCCATTTTTGCTGTAAATTACTAGCTAGAATTACTCGCAACACGATACATATTTCTGTGAATGTCACTGTTTAACTTCTACTCAACTAATTCAGTTAAGAGGAGCTATGTGTTTCCTCTATTAATGAAAAAAGGATTTGCGTGGGGATTTATATGAATGTAACAACTTCTCATGGAATTTTCTAAACTCCAACAGTGGTTTCACTTTTATTTTGTCTTTCCATCATCAATCCCCAAACTGCAATTCTAAAGTTAGTGTGGGAAACTTACAGAACGGTATTTCTCAACCTTAGCCACTTTCAGATATGTGGACTTCAATTCCCAGAATTCCTCACCCCCCTCCCCGGCTAGATTCCCTAGTTGAAGTCCAGATAATTGAAGTAGGCCAAGATTGAAAGACATTATTATAGACATAGACCTTATGTGATTTCTGAGGCTTTGATATTGTTCTAGGACTCTTATTGACAGGTACTGTACTCCTTGACCTACGACAAGTCACTTAATGACCATTCAAAGTAAATATGGACCCCCAGTTACAATGTTACAACCCAGTTCTGAAGGCTGACCCCCACATGGTCACCTGGCTGCATTTTGGATGCTTAGCAACTGGCCTGCAACATCTTGCAGTCATGTGACCATGATTTACAACATTTCAAAACAAAACCTAGCATTTACTTCTGGTTTCTGGCAAACAAAAACTCCATGGTGAACAATGGGTTGGCTTAACAACTGGGGCATTTGCTTAATGACCACAGCATTCACTTAACGAATGCCTTCACTGCAAAAAAAAGTTACAAAATCCAGGCCGTCACAAGATAATCTGCTTTATGACTGTTGCAACTTGTGGTTGTAAGTAGCAGGCTTATGAAAAGTTTGGTCTAGTGGTTAAGGCAGATTTTAAGGGAGAATGTATTTAGTGTTATCTTCTTTTGTTATTTAATTATATTTCTACTGTATTTTTGTTTTCTGTTCTTGCTGACAGCTTCTAAACATAAACATCAATATCTTTCATCCTATGAATGGGCAACATTTGAACATTTGTTGAACAGAGGAAATATAAAAGTTGCAATAGCAACTTATGGCAAAATGTAGGTAACCTCTTGCTCCATGAGTGCTTATGATTTAAAATCTCATTTATTTTACAGGTTAAGTAATTTTTTAAACTTGGAATAAAAGAACTCCCAACAATAGCTCTTATATGCATTACTGCACTTTCTCCAGAATGTGTTAAGTCTACCCTGCTGCAGTTGGGATCCTTTTCTCCAAAATCTCACTGCTGACACCAGTGCTCCTCCCCCAGTCACACCAGTATCCACTATTTCAGACTTGAGAAATGAGAGGCAATCCTATTTAGATATTTTTAATGCTAACATGTGAGGAACCAGAGCATATAGTCCAAACCAAACCAACAGATCATAGAACTAAATCTAAGCATCCATCTAAATCAAGTTGTGAAAGAAATCATCATTCACTTTAGTTCATCTCTTCAGCTGTTGAAATAAAACTGTTTTGTAGCTTTTACAATGACAAAAATTAAAAAATATTGTTTTTGAAAATTTAACTTTCACCACAAAAGTACAGGGTTTAAAATTACAATTCCCTTTACTAAAATAATTAAGATTATAATAATTTGTTTATAAACAACAAACATTTTAATACTGGTACACCAAATATTAAGTAATTTGCCAATATATTTAGGGATTCCAAATAATGTTGATAGATAACATTGCATAATGTTGAATGGCCAACATAATGATCTATTATCTTCTATTATCACTGAAATCTATCTATCTATCTATCTATCTATCTATCTATCTATCTATCTATCTATCTATCTATCTATCATCTAATCTATCATGTCTACCAATACCAATAAGAAATTCTGAGTTTATTTGTTTTTGAGTTTATGGGTTTTTGTTGCAAGCTAAATGGGCTGATTTAAGGTCTAAAAATCAAATAAAGATTGAATGTATCATAACTGCAAACCATATTTATCCTTTTCAATCTTTAAGTTCATGTACAGGAAGACTCGATCTGAAGGATCTCTCCAGTTAGAACAGTCTTTCTAATAAACATATTTATCGTGGCCAAGATCTGTTGATTCTGCCAGATATTTTGCACTGCACAAAAATAGTTGCCACTTTAATAGAGGGTATTTTTGAAATATGAGATCTCTCAGGACCAAATTCAAACCTGAAGGAAGCAGGCACTTATTTAAACTGACAGCCGTTTCCACTGACAGTTGCACACACTATCAGAGATCAGACATTAGTGCTCAGGATTTATATCGCATAGACCAAAGAATATACTTGCCAGACAAGAATAGGAATCATTAAGTCTGTGGTCCAAAGTGAGGCGCTGAAGCATCTCAAAAAGGGCAGCGTGGTCAAAATTACAGGGATTGGAAGAGATAAATTCATCCATGCCATGCTTTTGAGCTCTATCTGCATCTGTTCATTTATACACATAGAGAAAGACACAATTTAGAAAAAACATTGTGTTTGATGTACCAAAAATATAACATGAAGCATGAGAACTAAGTTGCTCTGTAGCATTTATTTGAATTTCAGGCTCACAAGCCTTAATTAGATTAATTCTTCAACTTCCATTGTCAACTTGCAACACTTATGGAATGGCTTATATTGCCAAAGGTACTAGAATCATAATCTTATTTCCCAATTACTGGATTGCATTTACTTCATATTTTGACAAAATAACAATGAAAGTTATTAAATTTTCTGCTTCAAAAAAATAAAACAACTCTAATCAAAATGTATTGTCCATAAAGCAATGTTGGGATTCCTTATATTCCACAAATTCCTATTTTTCATTTCCAAATAATGAGTAGAACCTGTTGCAGATCCATTCTGAGTCGGTCACCAGGACCAGAGGTTTAGTCTTCTGAGCTTTTGGATTTGTGCTGGATCTCATCCTCAGGGAACTTCCTTCTCACCAGAATGTGTGCCTTGGGTTATTCTGTGCATGGTATTTATATGGTGCCCAGCTTTAGTACAGGGATCTTCAAACTTGGCAACTTTAAGACTTATGGACTTCAACTCCCAGAATTCCTCAGGCAGCAGAGCTGGCTAAGGAATTCTGGGAGTTGAAGTCCACAAGTCTTAAAATTGCCAAGTTTGAAGACCCCTGCTTTAGTAGAACCTGTCTTTCTAAGGAAAGGAAGATCATTATATTGTCTTAAATTTAATATATTTGACTAAACATGAACCCATTTCAGCTTTAGGGAATCAAATAGCACCTATTAACTGTTAACTAAGTGCTAAATAGTTACCTGTTGATAAACCTAACCCAAGTTGCACTTTTCTTATTTTAGGCATCAAGATTTACTTTTTTCTTGAAAAAAATTAAACAGCAAGGAAGGGCATTCCTCCATAAGTATGAAAGTATAATGGCAGCACATAGCTTATTTTTCAGTATGATTAACAATTGCAATGTATAAATGGAATGGTTGTAGAAGTTGAACACTAACTTCTGCTTCCTTTTTTTGGAAGAGGAAAAAAAGAACCAACATGGAACTGGGTGTGGTTTAAGCCTATTGGGTGTCAAGTCAGGTATCACTTAATGGCACTTAGGAGTCTAAACTTTGGTTTATGGGGATTTCTGGGAGTTGAAGTCAATACATTTTAAAGTTGTGATATTGAGAAACACCGATCTAAATTATTACCGTACAAGAATTAATTTAAAAGAGTAAACAATTCAGGAGAGGAGTGCAGACAGGAACGTGGTTTCAAAGAGATGTTCCAATCCTGATTCAAATGTTTTATTCAGTTATGAAGGAGGAGATCCAAAATTCCTTTTTCCCATTGACTCTGCTACTAGAGATCTTTTTATTCTTCTTCTTCTTGTTGTTTTAAAAATCCTTAATAAATAAAGGAGGAATTAAATCCCCACTTTTTAAAATCAGTCTTCTAGAGTCTTAAGAGCAGTAGACAAGGTGATACCTAGCATGAAGAACTAATGTTCCTTGGGAATGGCTTTCATCTCAAAATCACAATAACATCAAAAATAAAATTCTGGATTTCAAAGAGTAAGTGGAGAGCTGGTAGAGTTTCTTAACTAGAAATATTGTCCATTTATGAGTTGCTTTGAGAATGCCTGTTTCACATATTGTATTAAAGATTTCAAAGAGCCTTTTAAAAGAGAAAGAAAATGAATAATCTTTATACTATATGACTTATGAAGTATCTAAACCTACCTGGCTTTCTAAAAAATCACAAATGCAAAGAACAAAACCTGAACTGCTAGAGTCAACAATAATATTTCTTTGATAATGAATCTTTTGAATTAAAACTTACGGCTGATCCTGTGCATGGTTAAAAGAAGTCATAGCTGAAAGGATTTAACTGGATGCTGTCAATAGATTTTTATATAAGAGAGGAATGGATCCCCATGTAGGCATAGAATCTCCATGCACAGAAGCCCCAGTGACATCACATCTGTCATGATGTCATCGTCCAACTGTCATCATTTTGTCAGTTTTCACCACCCACCTCTGGATTCCCCTGTATTTGTACAATCTAAACACCAATAATGATAAGGAAAAAATTCTTAAAATGTCTTCTTAGAATTTAGCCTCTGTGTGTGTGTGTGTGTGTGTAGGATTTCAGCCTAAATTATCATGGCTTAATAGAATTAAGGTTGCAAATTTACTCTCCTTTCAAATGCAATCATTTCAGCATGATCCATTCTAACCTTGGGGTTCCAACTACCGTGCTCTCTTCAACAACCAATCAGATGGTTTCTATCTGTTTTGACAAATGATACCCTATCCCCCTTGTCCCTCTGGGACAACTTCAGTTGAATTAATACAATGCGCTAATAAGAGTCTGCGCTGCTCCCCTACAATCTGTCTCCTTCCGAATTCAAGCCCTAAATACATAAAAAAATAGCTTTATAGCTTTAATAAGCTGCATCAATCTTTTTATTATTTTTTAAATATATTTTGAAGTCTGTAATGTTCAAATTTCCCTGAGAAGACTGCAAGCTGACAAATTGGCTGGAGGCCTTCTTTTGCCAGTTATGTTCAGATATATTTCATGACTTTTTCAATTATGAGACATGGTGTCTTGACAAGCCTGATTCCTTAATAAGGAAGTTGGAGTTAATGGGTTATGAATTTAAAGGGCTCCCTCCTTCTCCAAGTGGAAAGAATGATGACCTTAGAGGTATCACACTTCTTGAACTATGCTTTCCTTATAATTATTCTGCCTTTTTTAGAACTCATTAAAAATAAATGAAGTGTTCGACATGCTTTTTTTAAATAATAAAGAAAAAAAAGCATATACAAGACCCTTTATCACCACATATGGAACGGAGGGGTACTTTTGGCTTCAAGTATATGTGGAGTCACATGATCCTTTTCCTTTTGGCAGTAAAAACAGGACTTAAGAATGGAATCAATGCAAGGAGTGGCTCAATTTCTTCAGGCTAAAAAGACCCAGCCTTGTAATGCTTATGCATGTCAATTAATCTAGACAGCCACTTGTCTGAAGTGGTATAGATTCTCCTGCTTGAGTAGGGGGCTGGACTAGAAGACCTCCAAGGTCCCTTCCAGCTCCATTCCACTCCATTCTAATCCTTAACCCAGTGTTATTCTAGACTCACTGGTTCTGCCTTCCTTTAGAAGAGCCAAAGGATTACATACAAACTGGCTAATAAGCAAAGTTGAGGCTGCCTGAAATAATTCTCTGCTATTTCTATACTTTCTCACATGTGTGTCTTGAAGATCAAGATCAGTGCCATCATGCCTTGGCTCTAGAAATGATCTTAACTGTCTCAAGGCCCCGATTTCAGGCAAAAACTAGACAAGCACCATATTATGTGGCAACACAGCAGTGAGTTGATGAAGTCTAAATCAAAACTAAATAGCTTATACAGAGCACGGATATGTGTGGATCATGAAAGCAACTTTCCTCAGCCTGCCGAATTGCAATAGATGTAATTCCCAGATTCCTGGCCATAACCCATAGTGCCATAGAAAAAGAAATTACAGTGTTTTGGAATATTTAGAATTTTTGTTGGACAATAAAATATTAATTAGCAACCTAAATGAAAAGTGCTCATTCTTCTTGTCCCACCTTTAAATTTATTTATTTATGTGTTTATTTATTTATATCCTGCCTTTACTATTTTTACAAATAACTCAAAGCGATTATCCAATACATCTTCCTAATATAAGTATAAATAATGAACATGTTGTTTCATGGTGTTTCTTTGGCTTACATTTGTAGCAAGTGGTGATTTGGATGGAATGGAATAAGAGCCTTTCAATCAAACATTTTTCTATCTAAGAAAAACAAGAAAAATATCTAATCCAGACCTCTGTCTCTTTTTACTCTTTATTACATGTGGAACCAGTGATTTTAATATACTTCCTCACAGCTATTATTCACATATATTCAGTAAAGTTTAAAAAATATTCTAACCAAATGTCAAAAAGAATTAGATCATTTTTGTCAATATAAAAATATATAAATAGATTATAGACATCTTAAATAATTACTGATCACATCAAATGTTTTGATTGTTCTAAAAAAATCCTGAAACCATGTTTTTGACAGCATACAGTATATCAAAGTATACTTCTAGATTATTTATACACTTTTCCATTGTGATTTTCTTATTTAAAACTCTTTAAAATCTATATGGCTTAAAGTTTTTTTTCTTTCTGTATTTATGGAAAATGTTTAAAGAAAAAATATATTCATTAGAATACTTTTTGTTTTATAAGCTGAATGTATCTCTAGTCCATATAATAGAAGAATGATGTTGTTCCATTACAACTTCTAATTATAGCTATAGATTTAGCTATTCACTCTGGCAGTGTTCCTCTCTATAGTGATGCTGGGTTAGTTATGTGGAATTTCTATTGCTAGAACAAGAGAAAGAAAGAAAGAAAGAAAGAAAGAAAGAAAGAAAGAAAGAAAGAAAGAGAAAGGAAGGAAGGAAGGAAGAAGGAAAGAAAGAAGGAAAGAAAGAAAGGAAGGAAGGAAGGAAGAAGAAAGAAAGAAAGAAAGAAAGAAAGAAAGAAAGAAAGAAAGAAAGAAAGAAAGAAAGAGAATTCTATTTAGAATTTGTTTCAACAGGATCCAGATGGAAAGGCTCTGTAGCTTTACATTGCCAGCCAATGAAACATACCGATAAATGATCTGATTTGGTATAACACAGAGAATATACAGAGTATCATTAATGATGCTTTGTGTACTAGTATGCAACTGGAAAGCTAAACTGTTTTCAAGAAGATTCTTTAAAAAAGAATGAATACCTCCAACCATGTATTATAAAATGGTTCTAGAAGAGCCACTAATTTTGTGCGATCTATTCATCAAAGTAGACATAAGTACCTTTCCATTAATTTTATTGATTTCTGATTTTTTGTTCAGGTTAGCCTTAAGAATAGGTGCAAAACCGTGCACAAAACCTGTGTTCTGAAGCCTACAAAATGCTTATTTCTCTGAGAGCTTTTTAATTTGTAGCTTTGTTTGAGATGAAATGGCAAATGAGCAGCCAAATAAATTTTTGGAACAGATTTGTTTATAATAGAATGATCCAAAACACGACCAACAATCGTCCAATTGTAAAGTAAAAGGTGACTTTGTATTTTATTCATCTGGAAAATGTGTGCTTGTCATATCTGCTTGACGTTAAAAGAATGAACTTATGGCTTGGACAGTAACAAACAATGACACTAGTCAACCTCATCAGGAGACATGAAATAAAAGGATGACAATGATTGATGGCAGTTACTCATTTAAAGAGATCTCCAGAAGATACTTTATTGGCAGAAGGGAGTATGACAACTTTTTTCCCCAATGTTCTTAACTCTTTGTTGGCTCTGCACATTTGTGGATGAAGGGGTGAAAAAGTGAAGGCTAAACCAAACCTTTTGTAGACACAGTTGACTCTTGTTATCTTCCTTTACAGTATTTTAAGCGAATAGATATATAGAAAAGTAACCGCTGGATAATAAAATATTAGAGCAAAATATCTGAGAACGCTTTTGCCTATTGCAACGTTTGCCTACTGTTAATAAAAAGTCAAGTCTTGTAATCCCTAAAATATTAATACATTTATAATGTTATAATAAATATTTTGCTCTATTTGAAACAAATAGATTTCCTCGCAAATCTGTAAATCTTTACGGTAGCATGTGTGGTCCTTACATTTACTGGTGAATACCTTACAATGTTCAGATTTTGAGAGGAAGGAATCTAAGTTGTAGGTAAACATTGCATCTAAAATACCACATGTTACTTGGGGTTGGGATATTGAAATAAATGTAATCAAATTCCTATTTCTCTTGCTGTTTTAGAGTGCACTATAATCTTATCTATTTATTCTATGTATTATAGAATGGATTAGTATTCAGTTTTGAGGTTTTAATAAATCTGCCCATGTTTTCCAACCCCCTGCTCGGGCAGGAAACCCTACGCTATTTCGGACAAATGGCTGTCCAGTATCTTCTTAAAAACTTCCAGTGTTGCATTTACTGCTTCTGGAGGCAAGCTGTTCCACTGATTAATTGTTCTCACTGTCAGGAAGTTTCTCCTTAGTTCTAGGTTGCTTCTCTCCTTGATGAGTTTCCACCCGTTGCTTCTTGTCCTTATAGAATGGATTAGTATTCAGTTTTGAGGTTTTAATAAATCTGCCCATGTTTTTCTACTCCCTATGGCAGGGTTTCTCAGTCATCATGCCTGGACTTCAATTACCAGAATATCTCAGCCAACATGCTGGGTGGGGAATTCTGGAAGTTGAAGTCCAGACAACTTTAAAGTTGCTAAGATTGAAAAACACTGCCCTGTGGTATAAACAAGTATGCTGATTTACACTATATTTGTTTTGAAAGCTTTTTTTTTAAATAATGAATAGAGCTATCAGTTACTAAATTATAATCAAATTATATTCAAGTGGCTAATAGTTTTAATAGTTTCTAAATGAACAAAATAATCCATTCCAAAAAATGGATTTTTCAGAAAGAAAATGTATAGCAGTTGTCACATTTTAAAATGTTTGGGGATAGACAGTTTTCTTTTTTCTGTACTGCTATTTAAAAAAAGGCCCAAAGAATGATTTACAATATATTTCAAATCCATGGAAAATATATGCAAACTGAATTTATGTTTTAATACTGTATTATACTATAATGCTGTAGTATTTGCAAGTTGACAATACAAGAAAACATAGCAATGTTCTCATGAAAGAAAAAAATATAGACCTGAAGCAACTAAAAGCAGAAACATTGTTGAAAATAAAACAGTTAAGAGGATAGGAGTGCATTCTAATGCAACATACATATACTGCGATCAAACCAGAATTCATTCAGTCATTTAAAAAAAAAGGAAAAGGAAAGGAAAGGAAAAAAGGGAAAAAAAAGAAAGAAGGGGAAAAGAAAAAGAAAAAAAATGAAGGAGGAAAAAAAGAAAAAAACAATTTAAAAAAGAAATAATATATTCTATCAAAAATCTGCACTATTCCTCCCCTCCAACTTAAAAAAAAAATGATTTAAAGAAATTACATTTGCTAGAAGGGATGATGAAATTCTGCCTGGGGTCCAAAGTATGAGAAAGAAAGAAAGAAAGAAAGAAAGAAAGAAAGAAAGAAAGAAAGAAAGAAAGAAAGAAAGAAAGAAAGAAAGGAAAGAAAGAAAGAGGGAAAAGGAAAAAAGAAAAAGAAACGAAAGAAAAAAATAACTGGAGTATTTTTTTCAGGGTCAGGAGGAATGAATCCACCTACTCCATTTCATATTCGCATTCAGAATACTCCAGATACATATTTGCCAGCTCTTGTGACCAATAATACTATAGTTTCAATTCCCTCTTAAGTAAAGGTGCACTCACCATTTGTTTGAGGAACAGCTTTTTGAATATGAATAAAGAATTAGTACAACGTATTGTTTCTTTAAAGGTTAACCTAGAGGTAAAAAAAGTCCCAACTTTGCTTAATTAGAAAGCATTTTCAGCTCATCTTAAAAACAAAACAAAAAACAAAACAAAAAAAAACAATCAAAACCAATCCTCCAATATTACTGGGGGGGGGGGGAAACCCAACAAAGAATAAAATGACGGATTCCCTACTTTTTTTTTTTCTTGCTTGGCTATGGGTGATATATTTGAAATTGCATGCTATATACATTCCTTTCTGAATGAATTTTCCTGGAATGGGAGGGAGGGGAAGGTGAAAATGGGGTAAAGGAAGAAACCCTATTGTGTCTAAGCTATTTCACCATTAGGCAGCTGTGCGCATGTGTGCATACAGGTACACACACACACACACACACATGCACAAACACTCACCAACCACAATGGGATGTTCATCCAAAAGAACATCTCCCTAGTATACTTTTTTTTTTTAAAAAAAAATGTGTGGATAAATGGGTCCTGTTGATGAATAAGGAATCGTCCTCTCACCCAAAGGGAATTTTTGTCAGTCTGCTCCTTTCGTATTTTTCTCCCTTTAATGCACTGCACCTTCCCTTATCAGGTTTATGCTATCCTACCTTTCTACTCTCAGATGTGTCCAGTCTTAATATCATTCTGCTGTTGCATTACATCATGCTAATAATTGGAACAGGGATAAAGCAAAAAAAAAAAAAAAAAAAAAAGGAAGAACGGTAAATTGCTAAAGTGCAGAATGATCTGTTGTCAGGCATTAAAGCAGCCAAACTAGATGTCAGTTCCATGAAAACAACAGCAAGGTAGGAGTTACAGTCTCGTTGTGATGCTAATTCATGTTTACAACCTTTGGATGAAAAAAAAAACCAAAACCAAAACAACCCCCCCAAAAAAAAAATCCAAAAAAAAAAAATGTTAATGGTTGACTTTTACTAAGAGGATCAGTTGATGCCAATATGAAAGCCAGGGAGAGAAGGCAATTATGCAAACAACACATGCACCCTAATTTTCAGTATGGAAACTTATATTTCAAACCTAAATTCAGGAAAATAATATGAAAGTTTATGCTACAAAATCTAAACATGAGAAAGATTTAAGAGGAGGAGGAAAATAAAAGCACATTGCATATGTCAGATAATCGAGTGATTATCTGAGCTGTGCTAGCTATAGGGAAGCACTTACCCTTCAGTCCAGCTAGAAGTTAGCAGGGTAAGAAGGAACAAACCAGAATAACATAAAGACTAGCAACAAGGCTCAGGAAAGCAGACAGGAGTTCTAACCTAGCAGCTAGAATACTTGGGTTCAAGCAAAAAATGAAATACAAAACAAAAGGAAAAAAAAAGAAATATATATATATATATATATAAATTAAATACAAAGAAAAAAAAGAATATCAACAACAACAACATTTAATAGCTGAAACTGTTATGAAGCTTGAGAAACCTAGCCATAGAAATATAGAGATAAGTACATAAAAGGGTAAAAGAAACGATCAAACAACTTATCAAAAACAACAGCCCATTTTTGCACGAGAGGTGATCAAGATAATTAAACAGAACATATACAATAAAACAAATGGAATAGGGGAAAAAAAAGAGAAGCACAAATGATATGAGAAACCATCGCTGATCAATCTTTCATGTTTAAAATAACTTTTAAAAGTAATAAAAATGAAAGCTTGGCTGTGTATATGTATATATATATATATATGTCTGTATGCATTTTGACTAATGCCAGTAATAAAATGAGACAGACAAATATTCATATCTCCAAATAAATAATTATTTAATGAAAATAATGCCAAAAAGGGTCATATATTACTTCAGAAGTAAATAGCAAATACTTTGGAAAACTTTGTGTTCCTTTTAATGAAAAACATATTTAAAGGGTAACTTCTAAGCTCTTACCCCATGTGCTCTAGGGGAAATAACCACTGAATAGAGCAGAACCTTAAAATAACACCACAGGACTGCATTGTGAAATTTTGTTTTGGTTTAATATAAAAGCAAAACCCAAAGCAAAACAAAACCCAAAACAAATCCAAAAACAAAAATAGTTGCCTTTTTCCCCAAAGAAGGTTAAACCCCCCCAGATGAATAGCAAGTTGTATTTTTGTATATTTAAAAATACATATTTTTAAATGCATACTATATTTAAAAATGTATGCTCCCCTTTCTATAAATAACAGTAATAAAAAAAAGATGTTTCATTCAGGCTTGGAAATCAATATTGAAGGGGACATTAAGCACTGCATAAAGTTTATATCTGTTAAGGCAATTTAGAAAGGAACCAAATGAATTCAGTATTATTCCAAATTTTCCCAACTGTAAAAATGTGTTGTTCTCAACTTTCTGTTTTACAGTTTCAGCTTAACACGGTTTATTATTATGTTCCCCCTTCTGGCTGTTAACACAAAGCAGTTCTGCCATCTTTAGGCAATTTATGTAATCTATGGAAATATTAACCACAAGAAAAATATTAGACAAATGGAAACCGCTTTCAATATGTTCTTCCTTCAGAGTCTCCCATGTATCCAGAACTGAGCTAGAAAAATAAATTAAAAAGATGTGCACATTACAGTGCAACGCACATTAAGGTATTTTTCCACCACCATTCTTACCTTTCTGTGGGTGAGAAAGAAAAAAACTTGAAAATGCAATACTTGATTTATATGGGAAAGGAACTATGGTTTCTATTACCCTGGAACATCTGATAACAGCCATCATGTGTGCATAAGAAGGACTCACTGCTTGCATTGATACATATATTTTATTGTCCACTGATGTGTTTATAAAAGGAGCTTGGTATTCTGACACAAAAGCAATAGATGTAAATATACAGGCATCAATAAAGCGTGAAATTTCACAGCCTGAGCTCACAGATATTCCACTGAGTAGCCAAGCAGCAGAAATGCTTGAGTTTAGACTAAAAGGCCTCTGCACAGATTATGCATTTGCAAGACTGGATAAAATTTCTTCATATTTATCTCTTGGTGTCTTTTCTATTTACGGTATTACCTATAGCAACTTCTAGTGATGTGTTTGCAGCTATTCTGAGCTACTTATCAGATGTACTCATAATAACTCATTTATAAGTTCTTCATGATAAGGACCATCTACCCCATGGTCCTCAACCTTTTAGGCATCAGGGAACAGTTCTGTGGAGAGAGGTTTTTCCATGGACCGGAGGGGGTGTGGTTTTGTGTGCTGCCTGCATCCCACGGATGGGCCTTCACTTGTTTGTGCAGTCTGGTTTCCGGCATGTCACAGACTAGTGCCAGTCCACAGACTCAGGGTTGGGGACCCCTGAGTTACCCTTTTCTTCCTTCATCACTTTTGCCTTCTATTACTTCACAAGACAGCAGAAAATAAAAGGAAATAACAGTTTATAAACCAGTTGCATCAATTTATGCCTCTTCTGCTAGAACTGGTGCTTGTGACCAACCTTGGCAATGTTAAGACTTCAACTTAACATGAATTCAGGGAGTTGAAGTCCATGTGTCTGAATATTGCCAAGATTGGGAAACCTTGCATTAAGGACTTGCATGTAGATTCTAGAAGGAATTTCTAGAAGGATTCTAGAAGGATTCTAGTTCGTTATTAAAGCATATGAGAAACATGAGGAAATCGAAAAGAAAACTTTCGCTTGCAGGCTTTCTCTAGTTCCCATTTTTTTTTATTCAGAAAGTAAGGGATTAAAGACCCAGCCTAGAATAAGAGGAACAAAGCTGTATCTTTATACAAAACTGTATACAGCCATTTCTTAATGGTTCAGTTTTGTGAACCATTATGAACAGAACATTATAGCTACTCCAACAGAACCCAAATAACTCACTTTTATTCTGTGCAACTCAACAGGTCAGTATCTAACACATAATATGCCTACAAAGAGGTAAATACATAATTGTGCACAAATCCCCTGACTTGCTTCTCTGTCTTTTTCTTTTATCCCTGCTCAGGCTAGGTTGCTCAATGTGGAATTAGAAATGTGGATTTAAAACAATATAAAACTGAAAGTTTTTTAATCATATGCTTGGTTTAGCCTGAAGCAATGAAAAGAAGAACAAAACTGGTGTAATAGCTAATCGTGATTTTCTTTTACCTAATTTGGAATTTTCTTAAGAATTCTGAAATTTCTTCTGAAAACTATCTACTTTTTAACTTAATTTTCCTTAACTTATTTTACTTTCTCCTCTGAGTAAATGATAGTCTCCCTGAGAAAGTGGCAAGGATCTTACTGGTGGGAAAAATATATAAAAAACAAGGATATGAGACATATGTTTATGAATAATTATTAAAAACACTAATACTAACAAAAGCAATTCTGCAAGATGAAAGTCTTATTGATCAATCTTCTTGACTTCATCAGCTTGGGATTGAAATGAGACAGAACATTCTTTAAAGAACAGCAAGAAAAAAAGACAAGTTAAACTTCCCAGAAGATGCATTTTTGGCAGTCTGGAAAGGTAAAAACGAAGCAAATGGAATGGCTGGAATGGAAAATGCATTACTTCAGGAAAGAATGTTGGGACATGGAAAAGAAAAAAAAAATTAAATGAAACTCTTAGTCCAGTCATAGAGCTAGGAGAGGCCACCCAACTACTGCATAATATCCTTGGGCAAGCAACCTAGAAAAATACATTGTTATTACTTACCTGACCTAAATTACAAATGCGCTGTACAATTTGGACCATGAAATGGGCTTTTCCTCACACTTTCTTCATGTCATTGGGTCTAATAAATGTTATTCTAAGGCCCAAATGCTGCAGCCATCAAATGGGTCAGTCAAACTGCCAATTAATTCCTTGTGTAATGTATATATGCAACCAAAAAGGAAAATGTGAAATTAATATCCTTCAACCAATCTGTATCATGCCATGTTTTAACTCATACTGAAACGAAGACCAAGCTTTGCTGGATAATAATAAAGGTTAAGTATGAGTCGAAGTTATGCACAAATGTGAAAAAAAAGAGGAAGTTAATTTCATCGTTTTCAAAGATTATAAATTTCTGCAGATGTGGTATGTTAATAAACAAATATTTCCATTACAACCAGAATATACCAAACTAGACCCAAAAAATATTCCAGAAAACTATGAATAGTTTGAGATTTTTCAGATTAATCAGCCTTATCAAATGAATAAAAAAAAACAATGAATACATGAATAAATAGAAATAAAATAAAATTAAGGGCTGATGTATTTAACCTCATCAACCCGGTGAAATCTTTCATAGAAATTAATGTAACTAGATTATTTTTACCCAAATGTCTCAGCAGTTCAACAATTTATGTCCAAAAGGATATAGGTAAGAATATCAGTATAAGTACCTTATACCTTTTGTGCCCATTAAGATAATGTAGGGACTCTGACCTAACATGAATTCAAACATTAAATTGTGTCTGTGAGGATGATGTTCCAATTCAAAAGTATAACTTATGTGAACCAATTTCTTCCAATTTCCCTCCCTGTTAACCTTCCAAATCCAGGATTGGAGATTTCCCAAGATCTCTGCAAAAATATTTTCCAGACGCAAGTGCAAAAAATACTTTTATCTATCAAAATACAAAATTGCTACTGGCTATAAGTCCACGAACTAGTTAACCCATTAACTAAATTGTAAATCTAGCTATATTACATTGGGATTACGTTAATTTATGGCTATAATGCCTTGATATAGTGTTTGCTGGGATAGGATCACATAATCATATATACGTCCCATACTACCCTTATGTACACATGCAACGGGTGAATATTAGTCTATCTGTCCTTTGCCAGTAATCCCTGGGCTATTGAGATTGCTACAGACTGTAAGTTAGAGGTTGTATGTCAACATCATTAAGCCCTTATACTTTGGATGCTGCTGTTCTGGGGGCTGGTAGAAAGAGACCCAATTGCATTTCAAAAAGCAATTGAACTTTGTTTTTCCATGAAGATGTTTTGCTTCTCATCCAAGTTCCAACTGAAGAAGCTTCTTGGATGGAAAGCGAAACGTCTTGAATGATTGAGAATTGATAGACATACTTCTTGAGTAGGTTCCATGTAAAGCAATAGAACCTGCCTAGAGCAGAAAACCAGAAAGTAGCCATGGTAGGACAACTTTAGTAAAGTAGAAATGGACAACCAAGTGGAGAAGAGGTAGATGATGCCCCATATTGAACATAGTGAAGGGGTCAGCCTATTCCATTTCTAAAACAAGGCACTTCGTAGATTTATAACTTCCCTCCTTTCATTGCACTTTGGAGCAAGCCAAATTAGAGCAATAGTCTTTAATGGCTAATTATTACACTGTTCCTTATGCTGAATTGTTAGTAATCAATTTTATAAAGGGCCTTTTATACATGATTGTCCCCCAAAGAGGCTTTTTTGTTCCAAAAATACTGAAAAGGAGAGTGCGATAATGAAAAAAAAAAATGGGCAGAACAAGTTAGGAGCTTGCAAATCCTAGAGTCTATACATCAAGTATTGCATTTTAGGTTTTCCTTTGCATTTTTATGGAAGAACATTTTTCCCTTGATCCTTTGCATATATAATGAAGAATTTTCAAAATGTAAAAATAATGAAATACATAATCTGAGCCCTTCTCTCTCCTCCCCCCCCCTGCAATATCTATGAACAAGCAACTTTTAAGTCCAAACTGTTTGGTTTGGTAAGAATATGTTTTACTTACAAAATTGAGAAATGGGGGCATCTAGCTGGGGCACATTTCCTCCTTTAGCGTTAAGCTTCTGAACTTGAGTAGGTGGCACAGGTTTGTGGGACTGGCCTGTAGCTCGGTACATGGCTTGGACCCAGAGGATACGGTCTTGCTCATCGTCACTTGCAAAAATCACAGTGTCTCCTTCTTTCACTGCATTGAAAAATGTTCGGCCGCCCTCTAAACCTGAAAGATAATCAAAAAGCAATTGTTTAGAAACAGCTGCATTTGACATTCCGGGTCATGGATGCCCAAAACAAAAGATGCAGTTATGGTTGCTTAAGGAGACCTTCTCAATTCATCTTATTTTTTTTTATTTTCTGCAAAGTCTCTCTAGGATTGGGGAATCTCATTAGAATGAAGGATGAGAAGGGGTAAGGCATTGCAAATTGAAGGAGTAAGATTTGCTTCTGGAATGAGGACTTTTGCAAAGGATTCTTTGAATTCAAGGCAAAAAACACAAATGCGTGTACTGTGGGGGGAAGAATTTGCTGAGCTACTGAATTCCATGATTTTTAAATATTGTCAGGAGAATGACTTTCTTTTGCTTACCTGGAATTTTTCATTCTTTATATAAGGGCACTTTTGCAGTAGTTTTGTAAGAAACAGAGAAAGACTCCCCGTTATTTTTTTGCATAACTTCTATGATTTTTCATGAGAACATCTATGCTTTTGTAATGATCACCAACCCAAAATTTGTCTTTTGTGTTTTTCACTTTGAGCTAAAGTATTAATGAAGTATAAAAAGCTGTGTTGGTGCAGTGGTGGCACAGTGGTTAGAATGCAGTATTGCAGGCAAACTCTGCCCACTGCCACGAGTTCAATCCTGTCGGGCTCAAGGTTGACTCAGCCTTCTATCCTTCCGAGGTCAGTAAAATGAGGAATCAGATTGTTGGGAGGAAATATGCTGACTCTGTAATCCACTTAGAGAGGGCTGTAAAGCACTATAGAGTGGTATATAAGTGTGATTGCTATCAGATCATTCTATTTCAATATTATATATCCATTTAATCATGTTTAACTCAGATCCTTTAGCGTACATTGTATGTGAAGTTAGTTTTTTCTTTGCCTCATATAAAACTATATTTGTCACTTCAGTGTTCAAACTAAGATCATTTTAAAGTTATCCATTGCACTTTGGTGCTATCAATTAACTTATCCATGTCATTGCTCATCCTTAATTCCAGTTCATTTAGGAATGAAACAAGAGCACTAATCCTTGGAAAGACCAACTGTTTGAAACTCTATATCATTAAAGTAATCCCATTTACTTTACTTTCTACATTTTCTGTTTTTTAATTTGTTACTTCTTCATAAGAATCACAAAATAATTTATCTTATGAATCCTTGGTGAAAGATTTTTTAGTCAATGTTTTCTGAAACTAAGCAAATATATTGGATTCCTCTATCATTCCCTTTTTGCTGATATTGACAAAGGATGGCAAAAGGTTTGTGATGAAGGTCTTAGCTTTATTGAACCCTTACTGAAGCTGTTCAGCCCAAATTTATCTGGAATAATGTTTTTCACCAATATAATCAATAAACTGGTTTGTAACTTCCTGAATTCCCCAATGATTGGTAATTCACTCTCTACTGTCCATAACACTGGTGAAAAAATTTACTCTAGGGATATGTTCGTAAGTTCCTTCCTTTAAGACGGAGACCACCCAATTGTTGTGTTTTTAATCATGTTGATCATTCAATTCACAAAGAACATAATTAAGTAATTTGAATAAAAATATACAGAAATGTCAGTTAAGCCTATAATTGAGGAAGTTGACTCTCAGAAAACAAGCAAACAAACCTCAGCTTACCATCTTACTTACCGGGTTGTGGGTCTGTATAGTCTACCGTGTATCCATCAAGCTGCAACAGCTCTTGAGGTTCAGCTTTTTTCTCTCGGTAGCTGCACATGGCAAATGTATATTGGCTAACCTGAAGAAGATCATACAGCTTAAGGAACATCAAGTGATGAATGAAGAACACTTCCAACTGGGAACCTTTGCAAATAGTTCTATATTTACCTTCAGCTAAATCTTTCCATAGGTTATTATCTATTTTTAATAGATCTATTTTAATAGATAATAGATATCATCTATTTTAATAGATGATTCCTGTAATATAAAATCTCAAGATTCTCCTGAAAAGAAGGGAATTGTAGGATACTACAGTCAATATCCCACAGGTTTATTTAAACATTCTATAATCTTCTGATCAGCAAATGCAGAACAATCTCTTATGTCGTGTACAATCTTGTCTCCTTGAAATTGGGTTCGAAAATTGGACTACTCAGTATAATATAAAGATACAAAAACTGAGAACTTGCATCAGAAATGTTGTGAAGAACTCTTCACCTGCTATATTTTTGAAATACACTTTCAAAGGATGCACGGAATGTGACCTGTCATTATATTTCAAAATAAATTAAATCATGAAAGTGTCAGAGAGACATCATTGGCTGCAGCCAGTGGTGGAATTCAAATAATTTAATAACTGGTTCCCTGCATGGGGGAAGGCGGGGGGATGTGGGGGAGCACTACCACAAGGCAGGTGGAGAAGCGGGGAGCTGTCCCATGCACCCCACAACTGCTTACCATGCTGAAGGGCCCACACAGCCAGACCTACCATGCCCCGACACCTGTCACACCTCGCCTGTTCGGTAGTAACTTCTCCCACTTTCTCCTTCTTCCTGCTCCTTTGAATAGCCCTTTGCTCCCCTTGCTGCTTTTTTTAGTCCTGGAGTTTTGTCCAGAGACTGTGCAAAGATTCTTTAGAAACGAAGCCCCACAGTGATCGGGTAGGGTGGGAACCATTCCTTCACTTATGGACCAGCTCCGAAAAAGGCTGGAAGGAGCAGCCCAAGGACTTCAATCTGGCTTTGCAGCAAGCAAGGGGATTGGAGCAGTGGTGGGATTCAAATATATGAACAACCGGTTCTCTGTGTGGACGCCACTTCCAGAAGTCCATTCTGGGCCTGGGTAACAAAAAATTAGCTACCGGTTCTGCCGAAGTGGTGCGAACTGGGTGAATCCCCCTATTAGATGGGAGGCACCTGAATGCATGCTAGTCTGGCGTCTCAAAAAACTGGAATATTTTTTCCCCGTGCTGGATTTTTGCTGCCATACTGTTTAACTTTCTTTAACGTTTGCCTGTTCTGCATCAAGTAAACTTTAAAAAAAGTTAAACAGTATGGCAGCAAAAATCCAGCACGGGGAAAAAATATTCCAGTTTTTTGAGACGCCAGATGCATTCACGTGCCTCCAATCCCCTTGCTTGCTGTAAAAGCCAGATTGGACTCTTTGGGCCGCTCCTTCCAGCCTATTTCAGAGCCAGTCCAAAAACGAAGGGAATGGTTCCCACCTCACCTGATTGCTGCAGGGCTTCATTTCCAAAAACCCTCTGCCCAGGGTCTGGACAAACTGAGATCCAGGACTGTAAAAGCAGCAATGGGAGCACAGGGCTGTTCAAAGGAGAAGGAAGAAGGAGAAAGTAGGAGAAGCCCAAGGAAGACTTCCTTCATCACTCTGCAAGCAGAGGCGGAGGGGGGGGGAAGCATGTGATTTGGATGTGCTGCACAGTTGCAGCAAGCAGAGGTGGAGGGGAAGCCTTCCCTTCCCTGCCTCCACTTGCCACCATGCAGTACATCCAGATCGCCTCCCCCCCCCACACCTCCATTTGCAGGGTGATGGAGGAGGTCTCCCTTAGGCATGGAACAGGGTGTCAACTTCAGCCAGTGCTTTGGAGAACCTCCTTCATCACCCTGAGGAGCGTGAGAGCAGCAAGACCCGAATGGCTAAAGGGAGGAGCCAAGAGAGAAAACCACAACATCGGATTGAAAAAAACTTGGAAAAACTGGATACGGGAAGGCCAGGAGTGGAGACTCAGATTTATCATAACCGGTTAGCCAAACTCAACAAAAATTAGATATCGTTCTGCTGAACCAGTACAAACTGGCTGAATCCCACTACTGGCTGCAGCTATTTATTGTATCTACATTCTACCCCCCCCCCAAACTTGTTATTACATACTAAAACACCTGAATGGAATTCTAATTTTAAAAAATGGCAGAGATATAATATTTTTGTCTCAATTAAATATTAGTGACTTTCTCTGTCCCTTTACTACAGTATTGGTAAAACTACAGTAGTACTATCCGAAATTCTGTTTAATGGCTATCGAATAGAATTCATCATGTTATCCAAGCATCCTTATCAGAATTTATACCAACTAAAATACTAAAAGAAATTTGAGGAATCAAAGATCTGGATTGAAATGCAATGAATGATCCAACAAACTAAGGTATATTTGATAAAGAATAAACACTTTTCTCTCTTCTTTTGTACACCTTAATGCAAAATCTTAATGTTGTGCAGAACTGGTAAACAGTGATTTAAATACTGCATGAGAATTAGTACTATAGCATCTAACCCAAGTATTCAACTACATAGTTATGAAACTGCAACTAAGGATATAGGGTGGGTAAATCTTTAGGGCCAAGGAATTGCAGTTCACACTGCATGATCACAGGGAAACTATTTGTTACTTGTAATGTTATTGCAATGGGGGAGGGAGGGGAACTAGGTGAACCAATGAGCCAGTTTGGTCTAGTGCAGGGGTAGGCAACCTTGGGTCTTTTATAACTTGTGGACTTCAACTCCCAGAATTTCTGAGCCAGCATGGCTGGCTCAGGAATTATGGAGTTGAAGCCTACAAGTCATAAAAGAGCAAGGTTGCCTACCCCTGGTCTAGTGGTTAAGGCAGCAGGCTAGAAACCGGAGGCTGTGAGTTCTAGTTCTGTCTTGCACATGAAAGCCAAATGGGTGACTTTGGACCAATCACTGTCTCTCAGCCCAACCCACCTCACAGGTGGTTGGTTGTGGGGAAAATAGGATGAGGAAGGTGTGTTGGGTATGTTTGCAGCCTCGAGTTATTGGTAAACATACTAAAGGTGGGAAATAAATAAATAAAAAATAAAATAAAACTAATATTTTGACCTATTTTTTCCAGGGGAAAACACTTGCACTTCCATTTCTGCTCTTACATTACAAGTTCAGCTGAATAGCGCACTTCCAAAACAAAACAGAATTTTACCACAATAATTTTGACCCCAAAATGGAGGATGGTGAAAGTGGGATGCCAGTAAAAATGGGCATGCTTCCTTTGCCAAATGGTCTTGGGCTTCCATTCCCATCTTTATTTTTCCATTTTTTAAAAAATGGAACAGATGTAGTCAAAATTGAGTTTCCTTGCCACTGAGTTTCAACGGCTAGTCAGATAGACACATAAATAGGATGTTGTTGGTCACACACACTTTGTGGGTTGTCTGTGCCTGATCTTGGGTTCCAGAAAATTAAATCAGACTTTGTCCACACCAGGGGTCTTCAAACTCGGCCCTTTTATGACTTTTGGACCAACTCCCAGAATTTCTCAGCCAGGCACGCTGGCTGAGGAACTCTGGAAGTTGAAGTCTAGAAGTCATAAAAGGGACAAGTTTGAAGACCCCTGGTCTACACCAACATCTGAGATATGGCTCCAATTCTCTCATTCCTTATAAGATAATGAAATTCACCAGAGAAGTTCTAACTATCCCTTGTGATATCTAGCAGGAATTAGTTTTTTTTTCAAGTGATGGGTATCATTTCTCCTTTCGAGTCTCAATTGCCTCGATTGACACATAATCACTGTATAGTTTCTTGTGTAACTAATCCTATTGAGTTCTCCCCATTCAACATCAAGGACAAGTCAGGACTTTGTAGAATGTTAATGGAGACCGCACTAGCACGGAGTAAAAATGAATATGATGATTGATGATGATGATGATGATAATACCATTGACACAATTTTTTTTAAAAGTCTATAACAATTATTTTATAGTGAGCTGTCAACTCAAAGGCTCACAGCTTTTTTTTTTTTTTTTTAAATAGCTATTGTCCAAAGAGAGGAATGTGCATCCTTTGAAAACTCTCATCGTTCATTTCACATAATGTCAGACTGACACTCTGTCAGAAACAATGTGAGCTAAATTGCTGGTTACCAATCATATTAAAGCAATCCCAACCTCCCCCCCCCCCATAGTTCTGTATAGTTATTGTCACTGATCTTGTAAATGGTAGCTTTCACTCCTCCATCGATGTGCATGACATGCCACATTCAATGTCAAATACTTGATGGCAGTCTTCATTGGCTGAAGGGGCATTTGACATCGCCTTTAGGTGCCCATCAGGCTGCATTAAGACACAGCTTGTATTTAATACATTGTCTTTTTAAAAATCAGGATAATCTGGGAGGAGAAGGCAGTTGGAAAGCAAGGGATTCTCCTGTGCTCTGGGCTAGGAATAGGGAAATTTATCATCAAATGATTGAAAAATGCCTCTGTTGAGGTTGTGTCACATTCTGGATTCCTTACATTCTTATATTGGTTTAGACATTTTCTTGACCTCTTTAAAAAAAAACTTTATTTTTCCTTAAAATTCTTGCATTAATGGGTGATGCTAGTCATTTTGGGGAAACCAGGGAAGGAGAAGAAAAAGGCTAGGATATCTTCTCTTTGGACTTTAATGTCATCCCTGATTCTTAAAAATGCTTTGGATTTTTTTTTTGCTGTTAATTAATTAATGATACTTAACCTTCTTCAGGGTTCTGCTTGCATCTGCATTCCAGATCTAGTGTAGCTTCTAGTTCTGGGGCTGCAGATTAATCTCTTTTTGATTCCCTGACTGTAAAAAGCAAGAGGAGGCAGAATTATTGCCCTGATTCTCCAGCACAATCAACCAATCAAGCAAGAGACCGGAAAAAAAAAAAAGGAGATAGAAAGAGCATTGCCAAGAACTGTGACTGGCAGAGAGATTCCTTTTCAAGTCTTTGGGGGGGGGGGGATTCTTACTTTTTACTTTGGTGACAGAAGCATCTCCAGGGATGGGTCAAAAATTCAAGAT